GCCAGTCGGGAACACAGACCCACCATTGCCAGCTCCAGTCAGAGATGCCAGAAATCTAGGTTTTTTTTATGCAAAAGTGCTGGTGTTTTAATGTTGTTAGTAACTAATTCAAAATTAAAAATCGCAACCACACGCGCACACACCCCTTTAGGCAGAATTCAATTTATGAACTTACAGATTGTCAAGCTCTCAAAATAAGGGGAGGTTTCACCTCTTGGCTAGAATACAGTGTGCCTAACACATGACTAAATCAACAAGGATAATAAAAGCTACTACATTTTGCATGTGTGCTGTGTGCCAGGCACTGCACCAAAGGCTTTCTACACAATTTTCTTCTCACTTACGTTGAGAGCAAGCTGACAAAGGTAATTGAAAATTTGCTCCCATTTAACAGACGAGAAAACTAAGGCCTGGGCAAGGCTACACGGCAGACCAAGGCTTCCAAGCTCAAGAGTGGACACACCGGTGTTCAATCCCAGCTCTCTCTGCCTCCGAGCCGCCTTACAAAAATTAGGAAGGGGACAGCTTTACAGTCATGATAGTAACCAACACTTGCATGGTTGGTTTTAGACTATGCAAAGGAAATGTAAAAAATACAAATGCTAAACCTGTTCCCCCTCATGACCCAGCTGGAGGCCGGTGAGGCTGAGGACGGTATCTGCTATTCCCATGCCCCTTGGCAAAACGCTGAGCCACATGGACTTTCACTGCCATAGGAGGCAGCACCTCGGAAACACCCAAATATACAGACCAGCAAGGGGGAGCCATAGCCGGCCCCATTCCCCATGACAGGTCCAGATCAGATTTCACAGTGAAAGACTAGAATGCTGTCTCCATGCGGCCACTTCTTAAATATGCCAAGTTTCTCACGGACACCCGTCTGGTCAATAAAGTTGGTAAGAATTTGCATTTTCTGCCCTATGGGATTCAATAAAGAGATTTCCACATTGAACCAAAATAAATATGCCCCATAAATGCTCTGATTTTTCTGAATTGACTCTTCTGCACAAATGATCAGTCACCGCTGTTGCAGATATTCAGATCACGATACGGAAATTTCCAGCAGTCCAGCACACCTTGTGCCCTCGTCATTGCACCCCAGGGCAACCATGATTCTGACTTCTGTCACAGAGATGGGATTTGCCCACCCTTTGTCCCATTCATACGGGGCCTGTGCTCTCCTGTTCTCAGAGTCTCCACAAGTCCCTGTCATCTCACATTTGGCACTGCGGTACTCTTTGTCTGCCTCCCAGCCCCTGTAGGTATGTGAATTTGAGACCTCCACTCCAAGGGCATATGCTGGAGCCCAGAACACAGCAAGATGGGCAAAGCTGCTCTGTCTTGAAAGGAACCGACATGAATAGGGAAGACTGGTTACAGACGCACCAATGCCTGGTGTTAATGATCAATTAACATTGGGGTAGAGAAGGAAGTGAAACAGTCACCTGGCCATAGCCCACTCAGTCAGTGAGCACCAGGTCCACTCGTGTGGCGGCGGCCTGGGGATTCAAGGAGGAGTCCGACACAGCCCATGCTGCGGGAGCTCACTGTCCAGATGTGGGGTCAGATCCCCGCAGGGGGGGTAAAGAACACTACAGAAGGAGGTGAGGGAGGGGAGGCACAGGCTGGAGAGGCGGCAGTGAAGGCTTCCCAGGGTCGGTGACCCCCTAGCAGTGTCAGTAACACGCCTGGAAGCGCATGAGGCCGGAGCACAGAAAAACCCCTTCCGATCCCCACTCCCCTCCCACTAGAGGCAAAATATTCCCATCCTGCATAACCCATCCAGCAGAGTCTACCTCGCGAATGACCTTGCTCACCTATTAACTACACAAACAGGATTGTCCTGATGTCAAGAAAAACTCCAATCGAGGCTCAAGATAAGAAGTTAATTTTTTTAAAAAACAACAACACCATCATTGCTTGAAACCAGTAAGTTCAAAGGCAATGAAGGCAATTTTTAAAAATATCTTTATATTTTCAAACAGAAAAATTTTCAAAACCTGAGGGTTCATGAAAATAGTCTTTCTTCACCTTGCTGTGTTTGAGCTCATTAATGCAGGAAGGGTTCACGTCAGTGTCACTGTTGGTCAGGCCCACGCCTGTGCTGACCCATGTCGTCCCCCCCCCCCGCCCCCACTCCCACCCCCCACCGCTCACTCACCACCCTGCACTCTGGAAGGATTGTCCATCTTCCTGGCAAAGAGGCCAGCTTAGGGGGGAAGGACAGTCCTCTTTTGACAGGGCTGAGGATTGTGCCCTGACCTTTCACCTGTGACACCACCGGCCTCACCAGGCCTCTGAGCCAAATCTTCCAAAGTCTACTCTCAGGCCAGCCTTGATGGCTTCAGGGGCACCATTATTCCTCCAAAAGACCAGGAGGGGAGCTGCCATCATGCCCTGGTGTCATCCTCCTGTCTTGGGGCGCAGGGTCTCCCAGGGCCCCAGGACAGCAGAAGTGGGATGTCTAACCCTGGGCTGGGGGTAAGCCCAGTCAGCACCCTCTTCTCCATGGGCTATCCCAAATTAGCATTTATGCAGCTCCCTCTGCCTAAGTCCTGTGGCCGCTGAAAGGTGTGATCAATGGGGCACTCTACCATCCGGATGGGACAGATGAAGCAGAGGACAGTTAGTCAATTCCTTCCCTTTGAGGGACAGCACCTACCCAGCCCCAGGCCATCTAGAGGCAGAGCAGCATATCCAGCTTCCAGAAACCCTGCCCTGTGCCCACTTTCTACCAGCCCATATGCACACACGTAGCAACATTTTAACTGCACAGAAAGCTGAGCTGCCACCTGAATCTGTTCAAAGGTCCCCCAAACACAGACCCTTCCTGGCATCAGCAAGGGATGGACCTGAGAGGCCAGCAGTGAACTGTTACCCAACCCTAGCATAACTGTTCCCGAAAAGAAGTTCCAGTTGCCTTCTCAGAGCCACGTTCTTATCCACTGCCCTAGGTGACACTCCTGCTCCAAGAGGTTGTGAAATGCTCATTCCCTAGAAGGTACTGTGGACCAGGGCTTCACAAACTTTACTGAGCAAACAAACCACACAAGGATCTTGTCAAACACACATCCTGGCTCAGGAGTTCTGGGATGGGCCAGAAGAATCTGCCTATCTAACAAGCCCCCAGGTGATGCTACGTCCACCGGCCACAGTCGGAGCAGCAAGGCTCCACCAGGCCCCCCTTCACCTCCCAGAAGTATGTGTATGTACAGTAAAGGCTTCAGAAAGACGCCCTTTCAAATGTTAGGCTCAAAGAAATGAACATCAAATGGTGAAATTGTAGGTAAGGTGGTTTGTTGGATGAGGGGGGGCTATTTGGGCGGCAAAGAGGCCCATCTGCCAACATAACCCTCTAATCAAGCTCTTTAGTAGGCAGATGTGAGGAGCCCAGCTGTTTGAGGACCAGGAAGGCCAACACAGACATGTACATGGGGGCCCAGCCCAGATAAGGTCAGAATGCCAGCCGGGGGCCTCGCACCCCGTCACTGTCCTCCACTACCTGGCTCACACCCCTCACTTCTGGAGTGCTGCCTTTCCAGCCCACGGGGTACTCACGCTCTGCCACGCAGGTCCTCTGCTTTCTGACTCTCCCCAGCCCCGGGGACCCAGCACCAAGCATCCTTTTCCCGGCTGAGGGGTCTCCTCCCAGCCCCTCCTGGGACAGAATGACCTCTCGTCCCCCACCTCCACGGGCGCTGCGGGCACCATGACCCAAACGCCAGCACCAAGCCAGCTCTCCCCAGGACCGGCTGACTCATCAGCAAGCACCCCACACCTGGCTCCAAACACGGCTCCTCGAACCCCCGCGACCCCCGGCAGGGGTCTGACTGACTCCACCCAGTGCTCCCGCAGGGACCCCCCCCCCAATCCTCATGTGCCCCTCCAGCTCATTTCAAGACACAAATTGGGGTGGGGGCTCTTGCTAATCACCGAACCGCAAGGGTCAATGCCTGCCCTGGTCCAAGAGGGCAAAGTACACAGAAGAGGCTGCCTTCTGAATTACTCGGGAGGTACGGGCGTGTCACTACTCAGAAAAGGCTGATTTCCCCCCAGTGGGCCACAGACAGCACCAGGGCAGGGGGTCGGGGTCGCGGGGGCGGGGGGCGGCGGCCAGCGGCGATGGCTCGAACCTGCGCTCCGAGCCCGAGCCCGAGCCCGAGCCCGGCGGCAGCGGCCCCGGGAGCTCGCGTGGGGAAAGCAAGGTACCTGAGAGCTCGCCGGCTGGCGCGGCCACCACGTCGGGGGGCGCGGGCTTTGCTCGCGTCCCGGGCTGACCTGCAGGGGAGCGGGGGGCGGCGATCCCGAGCGCAGGCCTCCGGGGCCGGCGGGCGCCGTCGGGGGCGGGCCTGCCAGGGAGCCGGCCGGGGGAGCCCAGTGCGAGCCGCGCAGGCGCCCCGCTCCGCGAGGGGCGCGTTTCCCCAAAGCCGGGTCGGTTTGGGGAGGTGGCGGGGGTCCTCCGGGGTCTCCCGCCGGCACTGGGAGGTGGCCGGGGCGGGGGACAGCTACGCGACTGTAGGCTCCCCCGGCGCCCGAGCCCATCGCGCGGGGGCGGTGCGCCCCACCCCATCCCACCGTCCAAAGGCGGACGCGGGCGCACGGGGGGATAGGACTGGGATCCCGACGCCCTCTGCACCGCCGGGATGCCCCCCGCCCACCCAGGCCCGGCCAGACCCTCTCCAAGGCGCGGGGAGCCGGGCGGCGCGGGCTCCGGGACCCAGGCGGCGAGTGCCCCTCCCGAGGCCAAGCCGGCGGGAATTCGAGTTCCCGGGAATCCAAGTTGCCGCGCGTCCGGGCCGCGGGCTGCGAGCGCGGCGCGGGGCCGGGCCGGGCCGGGCCGGGGCCGGGCCGGGGCCGGGCGCAGGGCAGCCCGGGGCGCTCGCCGCGGGCGCTGGCCGAGCCGGAACAAGTGGCTCTCGGCGGCCGCAACTTTCCGGGCGCGCGGGCGAGGTGCGGAGAGGCCGGGGGCGGGGAGGGAAGGGCGGCGCGGCTGTCGGTACCGTGTGCGTGTGCGGAGAAGCGCCGCGTCGCGCCCGGCTCTGCGCTCCTCCGGGCCGGGCCCCCCCGGCCGCCGGCTCCGCTGCAGGCCACCGCCGCGTCTCGCCGCCGGCAACTTCAGGCGCGCCGCGGGCTCCGACTCGGCGCGCCCCGATCGCCCCGAGGCTCCGCGCCCCGGCGCTCCATGCCCGGCCCGGCCGCCCCCCGCCCCGCCCCGCCCCGCCCCGCTCAGCGCCCCGCCGCCGTCGGGCGCGCCTCCCCGCGGAGCATCGCGCCGCGCAGCCCGCGCCCCTCTCTCCGGAGCCGCCGCCGCCGCCGCCGCCGCTCAAGTCGCCGATCAACTTTCCGTCGCTCCCTCCGCCCCGCGCGGCCCCCGCCCCAGACCCCGCCCCCTGACGCGCCCGCCCGCGCTGCCCCGCGCTCCCCCCGCCGCGGCCGCCGCGCCCCCGCCCGCGCCCCGCCCGCGCCCCCGCCCGCGCCCCCGCCCGCGCCCCGCTCCGACCCCCGGCCGCGCCGCCGAGCCGGGCCGGGCGCTCAGGCTACGCACAGGCGCGCGCCGGCGGAGCTGCCCTCCGCGGACGTCATGGCACCGCCTGCCGCGGCAACTCGACGAATCCCCCCCAAGGGGCAGCGAGGGCGCCCGCGGCTGCCGCCCCAGGTGCGCGCTGGAGCCTCGCGGCGCACGGCCGCCCGCCCTCCCGCAGACGGGCTCGCCGAGGGGTGCGGGCCCCGCCGGCCTCCTGCCGGCTCCGCGCCTCGGGGAGAACCGGGAAGGGCTCCGGGGAAGCCGGCGCGAGCGAGCCGGCCCAGGGCCTAGGTGAGCCTGCGCCATCTGTTGGCTTTAAGCGCCCCCTCTCTGCTCCCAGGATCGCTGAGCAAGGAGCGGGCCGGGCCCTCGAAGTCCTTGAGGCTGCTGCTGCTGCGCCCCGCTCGGCCCAGCCCGCCGCCCTCGCCCATTCCCCCCGCGCGCTCCCACCTGCCCACCTCCCTCTTTCCAGCTCAGAATGCCCCTAGGTGCTTGCAGAGGGAGGACCCCGGACTGGAAGAGGGCCCCGAGGTCACCTGAACACCCTCACTTATGCAGTACACCCTTCTGCAGTAATGGTCTCCCAGCCTCCTTTCGCTCGCCTCTGGAATGGAAACTTCCTGACTTTTTCAGACACCTGGATGGGGGGAGCAGTTGTATTTGATCCAGGAGTTGTAGCTGAAGACGGCCATTCCTTGACCTTGGTCTCTACTTCACCCGACTAAACATTCTGAATTCTTTGAACTGTTTATCATATGACACGATTTCTGGACCCGTCGCCGTCACAGTGAGCGTTATGACAGCAGCTGCCTGGAGCCAGGCTCTGGGCAGAGACTCAGCGCCTTCCATCCTCAACACAGCCTTTCCAGCAGGTCCTGAAAATAGGCTTGAGGGAGGTGAGTGACTTGCCCCTGTGGTGGAGTCAGGTGTTGAACCCAGAATCTTCTCCATTCACTCATTCATTCACGGTTGTTACTCTGTGCTAGCCAGCTGAAATAGGTTCTGGGAAAATGATGGGGAACAAAACAGGCTTGGTCCTTGTGCCTGGTGAAGTTGCTCCTCTGACGGGGGAACCAGACCTTGGCCAAGGAGATACATAAACAGGTAAAATTACAGCCGGCATCAGTGCTTAGAAAGAGGAGTGCTTAAATAGCACCTGGCCTAGTGGATCAGGGAAGACTTCTTGGAGGAGGTGACACCTAGCTGAGATCTGAAGGATGAGCAACGGAGAGAGAAAGTTTTAGGCAGGAGAAATAGCATACCCGATGGTTCTGTGGTGGGAAGGAGGGCCAGAGAGCTGGAGTGCTGAGAGCATGAGGAGGATAGTAAGTGTAAAGCCGGAGTGGGAGCAGGAGCCAGACTGTTAGGGCGTGTGGGCTTTAATCAGAGTTTGATGTTTATCCTAAGAATGGAGGCTTTGAAACAGACAGTTGGGTGGAAGTTGAGGGATGAGACTGTCATGATCGGATTTGTGGTTGGAAAAATGAGGAATTAATTGGGAGGCAATAGATGATAAGAGACCAATGCAATTAAAAATATTTCCTTATCATCTATGTGTCAGGAACTTTTTTTAGGTCAGGGGTAAGCAAACCGCAGCCTTCAGACCAAATCCATCTTGCCACCCATTTTTGTAAATAAAGCTTCAGTGAAACCCAAACATGCCCATCTAAGTATGCCTCCCTTTACACTACAGCTGCAGAGTGAAAGGGTCGAACAGAGACTGTGCAGCCTGCAAAACTTAAAATATTTACTATTTGGCCCTTTACAGAAAAAGTTGGCTGACCCCTGTGAATCTGGACACAGGGTATGTCAGTGAACAAAACACACACACACACACGCACACACACACACGCGCATGCACACCCAGGCACATGCACACAAATCCCTACCCTCTCAGAGCTCACGTTCCTGTCACCCATCGTGGCTGTCTAGGTAAGAGAGGCTGGGACTGGGGTGGTAATGACACAAGTAGAGAGAAGTGCTATGCAGGAGGTTAAAAAAATCCACAGAACCAGAAGAGGGAGCCATCATGGGGTGGCACAGAGGTAGGTGTCAAGGAGACCCAGCTTCTGGCTTGTGGAAGCAGATGGACCGGCTGAGATGGGGATTGCCAGAGGGAGGCAACCACGGGGGGATGCGCTTCGGGTGAGTGAGAGGCATGCCATGACTGAGCCCAGATGTCAAGTAGCCCATTGGACACGGGGCTTGAGGGGAAAGGGCGGGACTAGACCTACAGTAGGTTGCAAGTAGTCGTGTTTTAGACAAAGTTATAGAGCCAAAAGTGGGGGATTCTGGGTTCTGAATAGGAGACTGCTTGCTAGTTGGATGGACACTGGACCCCTCTTTACCTCACGTTCCTCATTCAGATAATGAAAGTGCTAGAAGTGGTTTTCTTCAGAGATTCTTGAATCCTAACTGTCTTTCTTTCTGGTTTCCCACCATCTATCTTAAGCTAACTCCCCCAACTGTCTGCAGTCATTTTACATACGAACAAAACAGCTCTGAGCTCACGGAGACCATCACCTCCTCTGCTGTGGGCACCATACTTCGTTTCACAGGACTTCTACACCTGGAACTTGGGTGTCCGTCAGGGTGCAAACAGCTCACGGAACCATTCTGAGGTGTGACAGGGAATGCAAAGCAAATTTGGCCACATGGTGATAAAGGAGCTGAGAAGTCAAACAGGGGATGGCAAGGTAAGCCAGAGGTCAGAGGTCAGCAACAGCAGGAGGTTGCTGTACTACCCCTGGGACAAGGAAGGAGGAAACAGTGTTACCAGGCTTGGGGTCACACGGTAGAAGATGGAAGCGCAGTGGACATGTCTGGTGGGAGCTGAGGATGCCGCTACCATCCAAGCACTGCTTAGGGCCCGTTTGTGAAGAAGAGATGCCCTGGCTTCTCCCTCCCTCCAGGCCTCTGGCCTCCCACCAGGGCCTCCCTTTGGCTGGCTCCAGCCAGAGACCAGCAGACCCCAGGGCTTGGGAGTTGCAGCTGCGGGCAGCTCCGCTGTGATACAGAGCATAGCAGAGGAGAGCGGGGCGTGGATGTGAGGGGAATGAGCCAGCAGACACAGAAATCAGTCCCAGAGAAGGGACACAGATGTGAATAAAATCCAGTCCCTGTCTTCAGGGCACTCCCAGTCTAAGAGGGAGGCAGACACAGAAATCAGTTATAATCTAGCGACGCATGTGGCAAGGCAGAGAGGTAGCCCAAAGGTGAGCGGAGGGAGAGATTTCCCAGAGAGTTCAGCCCAAAAAGGCTCCCTGGACAAGGAGACCTCAGAGCTGGCTTTGCTGCAGGGATCAGGAGTTCCTCAGGCTGCGAAAGCATAAGGGCCTTCCAGGTGGAGGGAACAGCGTGAGCAAAGGTGATCCTGGAGGCGGACGGCAGTCCTGCTGTTCTGCACAAGAAGCAGCCAAAGGAAGGTGTTTGCAGGAGACTCGGAGCTGGGGAGAGAACCCAGCCTCTGTCCTCCGGCCCGGCTGGACTCCTGCCGGGAATGTTAGCGTTTCTCCCCGGCTGGGGTTGCACAGCTCTTGGGGGCTCTCCGCACCCCCCTTTCCTTAGGAAACATCTGCCCCTCCCCACGCACCTGCAGCATTGAGGAGGGTGGATGAGTGTGGTGGAGACACCTCTCACCACCTTCTGTGGTTTGGGACTAATTGCTTAACCTCTCTGAGCTCCGGTTTCTGCTTATGTAGAGGAGATCGTGGAGCTTGGCCAGCCTTCCTCCAGGGGCAGAGTGTGAAAGCTCGCTGGCATCAGTAAAGAACCACACGGATGTTCACTGCCCAGGCCCCAGCGTCATGAAACCCCTTTTCTACCGGGGGCTGGGTGGGGGCGCCCCACTATATGAAGGGAGGGATCAGGCTCAGCTCTAATTGCACCAACTAAAGGGAAGGCCTCCAGAGTCCCGCCTCCTGGGTATAGCACAGAGCCTAGGCTGGCCAATCAGAAGTGCCACTCTCAACTTTGGGACCTTGAGGAGAGTCACAAAGTTTAGAAATAGTCTGGAACAGTTTAGAAACTGTGGAAAACACCAAACCCCGACAGACAGCTCCTAGGGCCTGACCTGGGCTGCATTCTCAGCTGCATTCTTGGCCACTGGCCTCCTTTGGTTGCGCTTTTCTGGGCCTATCCTCCAGCCTTCTGGTTGATTGTGCAAGCCCACCTCCCTGCCACCTCATCTAAGTATGAAAGTCATTTTCTACATCAGTCAGCCTAACTTCATTCCTGTGGTGGGCAACCATAAGAACTCTGCCCAGTGTGGACCATAGGATGATTCCCCCTGGCAACTGTAGGGGATCATAGTGTACCATGGGATCGGCATAGGTGAGTTCCTCCATCTATGCAGATTTGCATAGTGAAAGGATCAGATTTAAGGATCAGATTCTCTTCTCCAGATTTGGAAAAGGGGAGGAAGGAAAAGAGGGAGGGAGGAAAAGGGGAAGGAAGGAAGATATACTGGCTCATTCCATATCAGAACACCTTGTCCAGATATTTCCAGAAGTAGCCACATCTCTGTAGTGGATTCTAGTTCATCTTGAGCTCAGAGACACATTCAATTTTAGGATCCTAAAGGTAGGAACTGTGTCTTTGTTCTTTCATTTAACAGGCATTCCTGGAGTGGCCACAGTGTG